TTGCCACCGATGCCCTGAGCGGAAATGTCGGTCCGTAACGCGCTTGGAGGGAATTGATGTGCTGGTTTCGTTCCCAGTTGGCGACCCGCTTGTAGCACCAGCGGAGGCGTTCCGTTGACCGCTCTAATGACTCTCCAAGACGCACTAAATAGGCCTCCCGCACCTTTTTCGGATTGGCTGACACCCACTGTCGACTTGTGACAAACTGCTGCCTGTTGCGCTTACAAAGTTTCGCCGGATAACGTTTTCGGCGCTGTTTTTCCTGTTTGCGTAATTTTTACTATTATAGTTTATGCTAGCTTGTATATGCGCTCCCCAGATCTGTATTGTGGGTGTCCTTTTGCACTTGGTCCGTCTGATTAGCTCCGTTGGATACGAAGCTTGTTGGCGACGAGTCATTGTATGATCCAAGTGCCTCGTCCTTAGAGGGAGAAACACTTGATCGTGGTCCGAATACGGACATGGCGTAGACGTTGAGACCCAGAGGAACTTTGAAGCTCAGACGTGGGGAACATAGAAAAGGTGAATTCGGCTCGCCGTCCTTCCTGTCCAGTAACTGAAATGATTAGTTGTACCAAACATTTCATCACCAGCATAATCCTGTATATGCCGAGCGTCACTCATGCCCATCTCCCTCACCAGCTTCTGTAGTACAAGGCTTTCAGGCCGGCTAACTTTCTAAGGACCTAATCGGTCTAATTAGAGGCTTTATACGCTATTAATAACCTCACAGAATAGTGTCGCCCGATGTCATGATCCATTTCTATTGACCATTTAAAAACTCCCCCGCTGGGCTCTAGTTGTAGGTCCATACACATTTAGAAGAAACAAATTGTCGATTTGAACTCCGGTCGCCCGTGAAGTCCATTTGTCTTCATTTTACGCTGTAGCTAGAGACGCCGCCTTGGATGTAAGCAAGATGGCCACTCCACGGGCCTTGGTAGAGCCGAGACTCCGATAACACATAGTCTCTTGTTCCAGGCCTCGGTGCTTGCCCCACATCCTTTTCCAGTCTTGTTGTAGTGCTCTCACTTCCTCCGCGGTCGCCACGTGTTATCTTGGATACACCAAGCCATCGGCCTTCGATGCATCGGCATTTCACACCAGGCTGTCATCCACAGCTGACGACAATATTTGAAAAGATGAGAACGTTTGGGTTATAATCCGTCGGTCGTGATCGTGTCTCTGTTTTTCCACTGTCCTTTGGGATCGAAACTGTTTAGAAAATTGTTGCGCGCGCAGGCGTCAGCACACGATATATCTGCTCCATAAAAGCAGTCTGAGAGTGAAACTCGTGATGTGCCCTCAGTACTAAATGTGGGTTTTCTCTACGGGGCGTGCTAGCCATACGTAGAAAGGTCCCTCGAGTGCTGTCCAATCCGCCACGTTGGACGCATAGTAGTAAGCCCCCTTGTAAATGGCGTTGGTTGCAATCCGCTTAAAGTGTGATCTTAATTTTCTGGCGCCCTAGTCTCCAGGTAAAATCCGTCCACTAGCGCAGAAATCTCTTGATCGTAGAGAAGCGCACACAACATATGGTGACTTAATCTGGATCGCCGTCTTGGATCGCATAATGTCAGTAAATCATCTCCGGCGTAATTATGGACCTCTAGTTAATTCCAGTCGTCGAGATTGTCCATCAAGGGCGACAGCATCGTGTGATCTATCTACGTCTCACGTGTTCGAGCCATCGCTCTACCCATAATTTTGTTTGCTGATCCATCGGTGTATTGCTATAAAGCTGCAACACATCCCCCACGCAGTCCCGCATGCTCTTTATTAATTAATTGAACGACGACCGAGTTGCCTGGTATTTTCTGAAGTTTACCCGGAATTACAAATCGTTTTACCAGCCACAGAAGATAGTCTGGTGCAAGTCGGGCTACCCGCTCCCACTCTGCAGTGGAGCTGTTAATGGTGGGAGAACTCAGGTGCTGTGGGTTAGGACACGCTGGCTGCTCCCACGCAGCAGCCCAGTCATCCTAATGTATAAGATAGCAGCTCTCGTCATTTGCTGGCTTAAGCATCAGCATCGGCTCTGCGTGGCCCGCTTAAAGTCTGTCGTGTTGTTCTTGTGTAACGCATCAGATTTCCCTGTCTCTGCTTGCTCAGGAGAAGACTCATGCCCTCTTTTCCGGTCCATCGGCGGGGCTTCCCGAAGACGACTTGGCGGCGTCGTTGGCAGTGCTTGAAGAAATAGTTGTCGTTTCACCGTTACTAGCGTGCGAATCTGCTTTTGCCGCGGGGTTATGCCCTCAGAGTCAGAACCGTGCCCGCATCTTCTGGAGAGTAAGCTGTGACAAAATCATGCTGAGGTGAAATCGGCTGAGCGTCTCTGCTCACTGCGAGGTTCTCAGTAGTGCCCGATCTTAACCGTAATTATTTTGCGCGTTGGTTGTTAGCTTGGTCTCTTCCAAATCAAAATCTGCTAGCGGATCGTGCACTCTGAGTGCAGAAAAGCTGAATAAGGGAGCTCATAATACTTTAGTACGAGCAGTGGACTCGATGGTGTGTCTTTTTTCCGGCCACCACTTTATCTATGAATTCCCCAATTGAAAGCGGATATTCCGCTGCTGTATAGACCACTCTGTGATGATGTGTGACTGTGTTTGAAACATACAGGACATACGTCCATCCATGCGAGTCGCCATCGTTGCTCTCAATCCTATCAATAGACCGTTTCAAGTAATAGATGCCATTACAACTTTATCATGCCCTCCCCTCGTGTCCTCGAATACCATGTTCATTTGGAACGACGAGCTCCTAGTATAATCTTCCAATTACCACCGTACATGCACACCGACTCAGCTCGTGTTATTAATTACACCCTTGATAGACATTGTATAAAAGGTGCACTCGCTGATCGTGGTCAAGCAGGTCTTCTAGATTCAAATGTCCGATAATTTGTTACCGCGTTTCAGGCAGGCTGTCAGGTGTTCAAGCGACCTTCCCGGATCATTGAAGTTGGCGCTTACCTCCGCTAAAACAGTAGACATGGCAAGTCAGTTCCCGTTAGCAGGTGTAACAACTGCTTTTAGCCCCAGTTTCATTTTTATCTCGGATAGCGTTGCTGGGGAGTGGACCGACCTGGCTCCGATCGATAGAGTCTTTGTTCGCCGCTTTGCCAGACACCGGACCAGCTGGCGAAAAGTTTTCCTCTCATTCCGCTTAAGAGTCATAATTACCAGAACTGGTAAGTTTGGCGAGAGTCCTCGCTCGCGCCCGACCAATTGGGGGTGTGACTTTCGGAAAGTCACCGTGATATGAGAAGCTTTCTCCTTCGCTTTATCACCGTTTAGATGTCTGATGTATAATCGATCATCGGGAGGCTGGTTTCCGTTTCCCCGAACTGTGTCTTCATCTCATCCTCTGCCTGTTGCTTCTCATCGTCCTCTGCTTGCCATTTTTAATTATTTTCGTCCTCTACGTAATCAGTTCTCTTTGCGGTGCTTGGTTTGGCCTAAATTGCGCGGGGAGTTAAGTCTCTTGAGCGCCCCTCTTTAGAAATTCAAGCTGGCGGATTGTCCTGATTTCTTAAATAGTATGGTGCGGCTCGTCTGGTTTGGCACTACCATCATTTTGTGGCACCCGAATGTTGGACATATGCTTCAATGCCTACAGTGTGGTAATCTGGGATACACAACAGCCCGGTGAAGCTTCACCGATGCCTTATCACGTGGTACAGGAGGATGAGTCGTGACAGAAGACGAAGTGCGCGAGGTCGAGGACCTAGCCCGACCGTTTCTAGTCCGGATGAAATTAGATCTATGGCGGAGAGCCGGTAAACGCTCCAGGATGCAGCAGAAAAAGCTCTGGATCTTAAACGACCGTGATTTCGGAGTATGAGTGTCCAGGTCTTCCATCTCAAATGCGTTCGGTTTTTTTGCCTTAAATATGCTGCGATTCTGTCAACGTCACTTAATCGGCTGGGATTATGTAGGTGACAGTGTATTCTACACGTCTCCCTTTTGGTTTTTCATTCGTCCCTTTCTGTCGTTGCCAGATAGAACCTTTCACTGGAATTCGGGCGTTCTGGAGCCGATACACTTTTCCGTAGAACGGCACTCGGACCTCCTTGTGGCGTTCGGCAGTAGTTTTAGTGAAGAAAAAAAATGTACGGTGTTGGTTTCGTGATCACATGCAACAGTCTTGGTCTGAATCATCATAATATGGAGATCAGGGACAATGAATTTCCCCTGTCTCCGCTGATCTAGGATTGCCTACGTTATGGCCTTTGTAGTCCGTCGAATTATTTTTATTTGACGCGAGCTCGATCCAACTGCAAAATTAATTCTCATTTAACTTGTACTTGTATTGTACTATTTTTGTGCAGTTGCTCTTTACTTTTCAGTACTTGCTAGATAAAGTCAGGCATGCGCCTGCCCGCCACTGTACCTTCGGTCAGCCCCGCAATAATCGCCCACACGTCATCTGTGACTTCTCGTACTTGGTTCTGACCTGCACGAGTAGCCGGTGCCGCACACCGTGATCTAAGACGAGTAATGATTTCCCCTGTGAAAGCAGAGGGGCCGAACATGAACTCTTCAAAAGTTTTGGGTTGAGTTTGCCAACTCGCCGCGTTGCCTGACGTGAAGCCGTCGCTCCAGTGCGGACCACTCGAGAACATTGATTTAAAACTGGAGCTTGAGCCCATTTGTGTTGGATGAGAAGACGACGGATGATCTCTTTAAATGCCCACTTTGTCGTTAACAGTTCACGCGATATAGCCGTCGCCCCTTCTGCCAGTCTAAAAACGTTTCTTCTTCTTGTACGAAGACTTAATCGTATACCCTGACTAAATCTGCAGCTTCCACTGCGGTCAGAGTCGGAAAGCGCTTCCTCGCTACCGGTAAATCCTCCAACTGGACTGGAACTGCACTACAGGCTTCAGCGAACATTAACTTATTTGTTCTGCACCACGCTTCTACTTGTCCCACACTCGATGATTCAGCCATGTCCGCCACCAGCGCTTCAAGCATATTCACCGATGATACAGTGTGCTAGCTTTGCTGTCGCCCAGAGGCTGGTGGAATTGAAGTAGCCTTGACAGCCGAACCGTCTCTTATTGTAGCCCTGTCCTCACCTGCTTTATCCATGTTGACCTTCGCCCCCTCTTGTACAGTGCCTTCAGGGTCTAAGCGACCGGCATGAGAAGGCTCAGGAGAAGTAAAATCCCGAGGTTCGCCGATAAACTGCTCGGATATGGCAATTGAACCACTGAGTTTGACCCGTTGCTCCTTTATCTCGCTTGGGTGATACTACCTGTGGCAATACTAGTGTCCATATCTTCACGCGCAGTTCGTAAATGCCGTCTCCAATCAATCCGTCTGAGCGTGCCTCCGCCCCCATCTGGGCCGATACGTGTGGCTCTATCACATCCATTTCCTGTCATATCTCGGGAGGGAGCAGGAGGGGGGGGGCGTTATCGCGCTCTTGTCTAGGTTGTACTATACCCAAAGGGACCTGATTATACTCCTCATCGACCAACTGATCACTGCTTCGCAGATTGGGGAGTCTTATTAAAATGAATGTCGAAATATCGACGTGGCCAAAAGATAAGCCACCTTTATCCATTCAAAAATCTTTAATAAAGACGAGCTCAAGAGTACTTTAATGTAATAATGGGTCTTGTTGCCACGCAGCTTGATATGTTAATGCATCGTTTCAGAATTAGATTGATAGGTTGCTCTGGGTGTTCGACTTGATACCTGTCCACTCGAAACTAAGTCGTTGTTAACTCGTTGACACTGTGTAACCGCTTACCGTTGCCTACCATTTCGCTGTCAAGATCGACCACAAACATATGATGGGGTTCAGATCGGGTAAAAGCGCTGTCCACTTTATCACCTTTACTGCTGCTCTATAAAACTTCCGCCGTCAGCCCCGACGTATCTATCGGTGTGTTGTCCTGGTGGAAGATGTAGCCGGTACCGTAGTGTAAATGTAGGGATGGAAGCAGAAACTACGATACTGTGTACACACATGATCAGATGCTTACTTCGCAGTAAGCACTGCTACTCAGAATTTCCCTTAGCACTTAATGTGTCTTAAACCATGACCGATCACCCCTGTTTGTCTACGGATGGTCTTATGGGGCGGGAAGCGCAGGTGTAGCGGGGTAGCCCGTGACATGATATTAACACTAAACGGTATCAATAAGGAGATTGTGTAGCGAGAAAATTCCCCGCCAATATTACCCGAGATAGGTAATATTGAAGGAGTACTATCCCCGTAGTAGGATAATATTCATGCGCTGATCAAAGATTGGTTGACGAAGACAATCAACCAAGGTTACGACCCCTCGCTGCTGGACGCGCGTAATGAGTTATGAGCAGGTTGTAGTCATACGACAATGTAGATCAATGTTGTTCGATAAAGACTGTAGTAATATTAATAGCGTAACTATTTTCAATACAGTTATAATTTTACCCTTTACTCAAGATATATGTTTGTGTGTGTGTAGATAAGCTTCCGCTGCACGTACTAGTGTACGTGAAGTTTCGTGGCATCCCAAACAAAGGGTGCCCCGTTACACCTGGTAGCATTTTGTAGTCCGTCCAACGACTACTTACTGTCCGTCCAACATTAACATGTTGGACGTTGAAGATGACAGCTTCCATGTCACACGTATATGCTACTCCCATCTGAGTGACTCAGAATGGGAGATAGTCAGCCGCACGATTGTGCTCATGGGCGAACCCGCCATCAGTGGTATGTTGTAAACTCTAATCAGAGGCCAGCAACACGCTGCTACTAACAAGTTACTACAAGGGGAACTTGCCTTCGAAAGACAGAAGGTAGCCTTGCTACAAAAGCAAAGCTCTCATCAGTCGATAGGCGGGCCGAAGCACTTGCGTCGACCCAAACTTTGAAGATCGATGTCCCAAGAAACAAGGGAACCGATGAAGATTCCCTTTTGAGATGGTCCGTCGAGTTAGACGACGCCATCAGGGCCCGTCACATCGAGGGTTACGAAATGCAAGTCACCTTCTCCCTGTCAAAATCGACAGGACGAGCAAAGACTCGGGCCTTTGAGCCTAAGCCTAACTACCCAAAGTGTTTGAGGCGTTAGAGAATTTAAGACCTCAGCTTAAAGAAACGTTTTAGCCGCCAAAAGCCGAGTTCCAAGCACGCTATGCACTCCTAAGGCTCAAGCAAGGTAATCGTGATGTTCATGCTTCTGCACACACCTACGCTACCTTGCAAGCAGCATCACGCGTAGTAACGAGATCAAGCAGATCTGGGCACTCGTCACAGAGGACGAGGACGTCGCCGATATTCGGTCGGCACAAGCGTTTAATGAGAACAATAGGGTTCTTAGTAGCTAATGGATGGGCGAGAGTTTCCTCGATGGGAAGACCCGGATTGAGCGATACACGTCTCAATCTTGGAAGTCTGTGAAGACAAATCCTTTGTATGAAGATTTGTTTGAATTCAGGGATGTTTTCCCGGAATCCGTGCCATGCGAGCTGCCCAAAGACAAAGGTACTCGGCATGAGATAGAACTGAACCTGGGTCAAAATACTGTGTCATGAATCAGTGGCCACTGCATCGTGACCAAGTCACAGCGATCGACATATTCTTCGCCGATCGTCTAGCGGCTGTTCAAGCGAGGGAATAAACATCCCCACACAGCTATCCAACTTTCTGTGTGCGAAAGTCCACAGGAGGGTGGTGGATAGTGCTCGCGTTCGACAAATTTAACGCTGCAACGGTACCGGCTTAAACGCCGATACCGAGGAAGGACGTCATCATTGATGGGATGGCAAAAAGTATCATCTTTTCGTCCATGTATCTGATGTATTGACTCTATCAGATCCTCATGCGCGAACCGGACATCCCGTACACAGCAGTGAGCTTCCCTAGTGGTACGATCTAGGAGTGGCTAGTGATGCCAAAGGGGCTAAGTTACACACCTGCAACGTTCAACGGGTGTGTTGCGAATCGGTTGCGATTGCTGCGAGACTTCGCACCGCGTTACCTTGGCGATGTCTTCGTCCATAGCCGGGCTATGAATGGAAGAACGGACGTGGAGGTTTGCAGGATCCGTGTCCGGAAGGTTCTTACGCTAATGCGTGAGCATAAGTTGTTCGCGAACCTCAAGAAGTGTATATTTACAGCGAAAAAATACCAGTTCTTGGCTGCATCGTGGGTAAAAACGGCGTGCGCCCTGATTCGAAAAAGATTAAGGCGATTATCTACTGGCCTGTGCCAGTCGACGCCAAGAAACTTCGAAATTTTCTTGGATACGTGATGCACTTGCAGAAGTACTGAAGAAAGTACGCCGAGATGACCGTACATCTCTCTCGTCGATTTAAGAAAAACGAGAAGTGGTGATAGAGTGCTGAGTATCATCACTCCTTCGAAGGAGTCAGGAAAAGCTTGATACAATCGCCTGTGTTGGCGAGTGCAGTCCAGGACAGACCATTCCATGTGGTCTGTGACGCCAGCGATTTTGTAATCGACTGCGAGTTGATGCAGTACGACTCATATAAAGCAGAGCGCATTGTCTGCTTTTGATTGCGTCAGCTGAGAGCAGCTGAGCTTTTATTACCCAGTGCACGACAAGGAACTCCTTGCCATAAAATATGCACTGGATAATTTTTGGGTGTTTCGCTTAGAAGACAGAACCTTCATCGTTTATACCGACCACGTGTCGCTACGCACGGTTTTAATCAGTTTAAACCTCTCGCAACGAATTGCGATGTGGCTGTATTTCTTCTCGGAGTACAGCTTCTTCGTCGAGCATAATTAGGACGACTTAATATTGTCGCTGATGCTATTTTGCGTCGGCCCGATTTCGAGCCGACTGCTCAACACGACAGTAGGGTGATCCCACTGTAGCGACACTAACAGTGAGTGTTCCGTCGTAGAATCTGCTCGACGACGTGCGGAAAGCATACACAGAAGATGAGTCTCTTCTGCGATTGATGGATTACGTTTCTAATTCGTGTAGTCAAGCTTTGCTAAGCTTGTCGTCTCAATACCGCTCTTTTCAACCGAACGGTATTCGTTTCTTGATAAACTTATGTATTATACAGCAGTCAACGGCGACACACCTCGTGTCATCGTTCCCGCTCATGATGATTTGCGATTGCGCATCATGTACGAGTGTCACGATGCCCCGACAAGTGGGCATTGGGTAGAGAAAAGACTGATCACACGCTAAGTCGTGATTTCTACTGGCCACGTCAGTAGTAGTTTGTGCACAAATACATTCGCGCTTGCGACGTATGCCAACGGGTGAAGCCCAGTACTTTCTCCCATGAACCCTTGCAGCCTCTACCGATTCCGGCACAGTGTTGGCAGTCCGTATATATGAACTTTGTCTTTGAGTTTCCCAAAGACTCTCACAAGAATACTGGTATTCTTGTGTTTGCTGATCGGTTTAACAAGATGGTACATCTTGTTGCAGTAATGGACTCAATCACAGCCCAGGGCCGTGCTCGTGACTTCGTCGATACTATCTTTTGACTTCACGGGTACCCCGTGAACACGTATCTGATAGGGACCCCCCTTTACAGCAGAGTTCTGGCAATCCTTGTTCCATTCCCTTGGAGCACGAATGATATGTCGACTTCTGACCATTTAGAAACAGATGGCCAGACGGAACGCGTCAATAGCGTCGAAGAGATACTTCGAGGGTACGTCGAAGAGATACTTCGAAGAGACGATTTGAGGGTACGTCCACTCGTTTACGAGTTGGAGTGAGTCTTTGGCGTGGCGGATTCCGCCAACAACAACTCGGTGCATGCTTCGACCACGCATACACCGTTCTTTAATAATGGCCTACGACATTCACGCTTACCCGCCTTCCTAGAGTGTTAATCTAGTTTTAGGGGGGAGGGAACTCGCTCGAACAAAACTGATCTGGTTCTTGCTCATCACACGTCGACAATGATGACGACGTGATACATGCCGATGCCGATGTCGATGCGATTAACATTAACGATGATGATGACGACGATGTCGGTGTATATTCAGCATCGCCAAAGACTGCCACAGTGAGAACGATGACGCCTTCACTGGTGAAGACAACATTCTTTCAGAAGTGCACACGAAGCGCACTGCTGTTGACAAGGGTGAGTCAGCAGAGAAATTTACGCTGAATCGCAAAGCAGTTTTCCGTTTCGTTCAAGACTCTATTGCAGATGCACGGGCCAGACACAAATGAAACGCAGACAAACCTGTAAGAGTAAATGTTCTTTTAATTTGATAAAGGAGACCTAATTTTACTGTCTACAGTAAATCTACCAAAACACGCAGTGACAAACGTGGGCAGCAGTAAATTACAGTCCAATTACATCGGTCCGTTTGGCGTGTTGCGCCGTATGGGCAACGCAAACGCGATTGAACTGCCTCGTAGGATGCATACGCATCTT